GGAAGCATTATAAATAGTTATGTTTTTAAAAGAAAAAAAACTACTATTGTTATAAATAACAATTGAACTAAACTTTGCATGTTTATTTAAATATATTTACACGTGGTTTGTGTATATCGTATATATATTGTTACGCCTCCGTTCGTTAGATAATTTTCCGTAAAATCGTTCCGACGAAACTTTAGCGACACAAGTCCTTTCTTAAATAAAACTGGTTTATTCTTTCCGAATACAACTTTACGATACACTTAATTTCAACAGTTGCTCTATAACAAACGCTCACGTCTCACGTGACCAACAATATTTTATCATACATTCAATTACTCATTACCTACACATTGTCTCGTCACGTTGTGACCATCTTATATATACCAGCCTACCCCAATCTAGTAGTCTCCCAATAATTCACGAAAGTTCGAGAAGGACGCGGCGTGATACTAGTCACGTGAGCTCGCTGACGCAACAATATATATATATACACACACACACATATATATTATTCATACCTTCGGACGCAAGCAGATTTTGACATCAAATTTTGGGGTAAAAAAGTGTGTCTTATACACCGAAAAATACGGTGTATATAAAAATATATGTTTGTTTTGTTTTGAATTTCGCACAAAGCTACACTAGAACTCTCTGCGCTAGCCGTCCCTAATTTAGCACTGATAGACTAGAGGGAAGGCAGCTATTCAACACCCACCGCACACTTTTCGACTACTCTTTTACCAAAGAATAATGGGATTCGGCGTTTCATTATAACGCCCCACGGCTGAAATGGAGAGCATTCGGAAAAAGGGATTCGAATCCGCGACATGCAGCTTATCAGTTCCCTCTTAGGCTAGAAAGTGAATAAAACCAAAGCTTTACTTGAATTAAACTATACTAAGGACGAGTGTAATCTGACATAAACAATGAACTATATTAAAGACGAGTGTAGTCTGACATAAACAATGAACTATACTGAGGACGAGTGTGGTCTGACACAAACAATGAACTATACTGAGGACGAGTGTAGTCTGACACAAACAACGAACGATACTGAGAACGAGTGTAGTCTGATACAAACAATGAACTATACTGAGGGCGAGTGTAGTCTGACATAAACAATGAACTATACTGAGGACGAGTGTGGTCTGACACAAACAATGAACTATACCAAGGACGAGTGTAGTCTGATATAAACAATGAACTATACTGAGGACGAAGTAGTCTTAAATAAACACTGAATAATACTAAGGACGAGTGTAGTCTGACATAAACAATGAACTATACTGAGGACGAGTGTAGTCTGACATAAACAATGAACTACACTAAGGACGAGTGTAGTCTGACACAAATAATGAACTATACTGAGAACAATTGTAGTCTGAAAAAACAATCAAAAATACTAAAGACATGTAGAGTCTGGTATGAACAAAGAAATATGTTATTCAATATTTACAACACGACCTGGATGTTTGTAACTTGATCTGAACAAACTAATAAACACAGTTTGTTATAAACAGTGAAAGAAGCTATAAAGTTTCATACTAAAATATGTAAACACGGGATGTTCAAGCTTATCACTAACTCACCATTCGTTGCGCTACCTCGCGGTTTGGCCCCTAGGTACGCGAGATTCACATTGGCCTTCCTTCCATCAATGATTGGGTTGGCATCTCTTACAGCACGTTCAGCTGACTCTCGGTCAGCCATGGTCACCTGTGACAGGACAAAATCAAAATCTTGGAAAAACAAACAGTCTTTATTAATTTAAACAACTTCAAACAGTTACTAGAATAGAAGGATAAAGACAGCCTGTATTAACCTTACTGTTATAAACAGTAGCTAGAATGGTAGGATAAAGACAGCCTGTATTAACCTTACTG